GGTGTGAGACAAAGGAGAAGTAATAACGAAAAACAAAACAGTTTCATTGAAGATCATAAGTCACAAGGAGTGGATGCATCTGCGCCAATGAGAACGACTTTGAGCCATGTCACCAATTGTTTCCAACCATAGATTTTTACCGTCCCGAGGACCCCAGCCTGGAAGTCTACACCTTTCTACGTGGCTTAGACCAACTGTTGTGGATTTCATTGACTGATGCCAAGTTTTTGTTTGACCGCCGCTAGCTTTTTTCCAGCCTGACCCTATATCCGCTAACATTGCTCGTCGAGGGAGGTGATGGCTTGGCATACGTAACACATATCCTAACCATCTCAGTCTTTGTAGCTTCACGACTTCGTCGATTGATTTCCCCTGTTTACCTAGAACTCTACGCCTAACCTCCATGTTGCTCACCTTATTATGCCACTTTACACGGGAAATAGAACGCAGGCACCTATGATCAAAGACAGCTAGTCTTTTCATGTCTTCCACTCTCAGTGGCCAGGTCTCACAACCATAAAGGAGGACGGAGCGGACTGATGAGCAGTACACCCGCCCTTTGGTCGATAGTCGAACATCTCGTCTACGCCAGAGTCGGCGTAAACTGGCAAATGCGGAACGAGCCCCCTGTATCCGTGCTGAGATTTCGTCAGAGATCAACCCGTTGGTACTGGCTGATGGTACTTCCCAAATAAGTGAAGCGGTCAAGGTGCTCTACCACTTCACTCCCTAATTTTAAACTAGGCGTCGATGTAGTCCAGTCCTGTAACGTCATCTTGCATTTGGCGGGAGCGAATCGCATGCCAAACATTCGTAGATTGCGGCTCAGTGTGTTTAGAAGACTCTGCATTTCGTCAGCGTCTTCGCCTAGAAGGACTATATCGTCTGCATATTCCAAGTCAACGAGATTATTCCCTGTTAGCAAGTCAATCCCTGAGTCGCTGAAGTCACCTAGGATTAAGTCCATTAACACATCTATGATGAAGTTGAATAGAAAAGGAGATAATGGGCATCCTTGACGGACACCACTGGTCGTCATCAGTTCAGATGACAGCTCGCCGTAAGCCCTCACCTGGCTGTATGAGTACGAGTAGAGTGCCTTAATCAGTGCAATATATTTTCTTGGAATTCCCTTTACAGCCAAGCATCTCCAGAGAACTTCTCGATCGACAGAGTCGAAAGCTGCCTTTAGGTCAAGAAATATAATGATTGTTGGACGCCGGTAGGAATTCCTATGTTCTAGAATCTGTCGGAGGGTGAAGATATGATCAATACACCCTCTTCCTGGTCTAAAGCCTGCCTGGCTCTCTCGTGTTTGTGCTTCCCGAGCACCACTTAGTCTACGCATGATTATTGAGCCTAAGACTTTAGATACTATATTAGTCAAGCTAATCCCTCTGTGATTATCACAGGAAGACTTGTCTCCCTTCGCCAACTGATTAAAAGCGATTTGGGCATCCTGTAAAATCATATTTATATAAATATGGCTTTTAAAAAAAAATCATATCTGACGAGAGAATTAAATGATAGGTGTGAATACATTTAATAATAATACTAATAGTAGTATGAAATGTAATTAAAATGTCTGTGATTATAATCATAGTTAAATGTGAAGTGGCAAAAGAATTAATGTCATATAGAGAATAACTCATAGGTTTATTGGTTGGTCAATTTGGTTCTTGTCTAACAGGGTGCAAGAACGCTTTCCTGTCTGGTTAAGAAGAGGTGGAAGTGGAACAATAAGAAGGTGAGATCATTGAACATCTGGTTGATAATGACCACCTGCCTCTAGAGCTTTCAGCTTTAAAGTCATCAACAAGGCGAAAAGTCATTTCGAATACAATTGCAGCGAAGAAAATTTTCTTTTCGACGAAGTCATCATTTAGGCTGTACATTCGTGTATTTATATCAAACGGATGGGAAAGTTCCAGAATAATTTCCGGTCAAGGGTCAAATTAATAAAAAGTAAAATTAGGAATTAGAATTCCATAATAAACAGGGGATGGATAAATCTCAAACAAAGTAGCCTCATAATAACTAAGAAGATTGACATTGTGCAATTAGGGATTAGAAATGTAGAAATAGTAAAGTGACAAAATAAACATGAAGTTTGGGTATGAAAATAAGGTAACGTAAACAGGGATTAAGAAAAACTTACAATAACTTGAATAAACAGGAAGTTTAGATAAGGCGATGGGGTGGTCATTACTAAAAGAATTACCTGTTTATGATGGCCATGGCAGGGACAGGGGTTGAACGTATTTTTTTTGTATACAAAGCGTGGGTTTGAGCTTTTGTATAGCTAGCGCCTCAGCTATGCCCAGATGTCTTGATTTTTCATTCCCTTTGATACGTTTGATTGAATCTTGCATATTACTTTGAAGGATTTTCGAAAGGTGCTGAATGTCCTGAATTAACCAGATGTTCTGTCACTGAACTGTATACACGCTTTTGGTCTCCTTTTACTAACCAGGCTGGGTAGTGTTCACGAGCGCGTTTTTCAAGTCGGCGCATGGTACGGCCAACGTACTCAGCTCCACAAGAGCAAGTAAACTGGTATATGCACGTTGAGGTGGCCCAATGCGACAGCTTACTTAAATCACTATGTACCCGACTCATCTGTATTGCAGAAGCAACTTTGGCCATCGAAATAGAGAAGTCAGATCTCTGTATACAGATAGCGTTCGTTCAACCCCTCCAACTTTCACAGTTTTAATCCCACTCTTCCAAGGTATGAGATAATTCCTAATCATATTTGCCTCTATTTAATTTTCGTTTTGTTTATTCCCTTTGTATACTTTTCCTTCCTTCCATCAATTGTCCCCGGTATCACTGCACTCGTCCCACTTGACATTCTAAATCGACTTCTTTTTGCTACGTTACCTATTTCACACAGTGTTGCATAATGTTTTTATTTTTCTTCTATTTTATTTGCAAGTGCGTCGGTGGTAAAGCGGTAGAATGTACACCAATCATGCAAGTGGTCTGGGGTTCGATCCCCAGCCGCCAACACACTCCTTTACCTCTCTAAGCCAGTAATTAGACTGGTAAAGAGGAAAGTTTGGGCATGAGGCTAGCAATCCTATTCCGTAAAAATAAACACCACTGCTACCGAAACTTCAAAGCTCTAGCTTGAAGTCCTATGTTCCACTGGAGCGTCTATATATGACATTAATTGTTTTAAAGCAATTAGTTCCCTTTATGAATTTCGACAACACAATAAGAAGACGTAGTTTATCTGACGTTTCAGATAAACTACGTCTTCTTATTGTGTTGTCGAAATTAATTGTTTTGCCACTTCACATTTAACTATGATTATAATTACAAACATGTTAATTGCAATTCATATTACTATTATCAGTTTATATATTCCCACACCTATGATTCAATTCCCTCACCGGATATACAGCTCGATAGTAAATTCGTTATTGAAAATAGTCTCCTCGTTGAATCACTCGTTTTTATTTTCTATATATCCTAATGAGAATCTTCCATGAATTAACTTTCGAGAATTTCTTTATATCAGGAATCAACATTCCCCCCCGGCCCTAAAGAGATCTCCGCGCATAACATCTGCATTTTGAACTATTCAATCTTACACGCATCAATAGCCTCATTCAAGAACAAATTTTGGATACCAAACGATCTACTTTTTAGTAAGTAATACACGCATACTGATAATACGCTTTGAGGGAATTTTCACCACATCTAGTATTGACTTCTGACAAAATCCAGATATCACTACTCCCAGTTCATTTAGCTACCTCTGTTAGAATACTAATCACATTACATTGTATAAGTCACCGACAATCTTATACAGTATCGTAGAGCTTCTTCAAAAGAGAAAGAATCAATCAATGCACCCAGTGGCAGTATTTCGTCCTCAATTGAACTCATGCTAACAATCTGCCTGTCCGTTTTCGACAGAGAACTTTGCACCACCGTGCAGAAATTCAAGTCGCCACACACCCTCTATGTAGCACACAAAGCAACCGAAGAAAGTAGAAGAAATGCATAATAGAGAGAGACAGTAAACAGAGGTGTGAGACAAAGGAATAGTAATAACGAAGAACAATATAGTTTCATAGGAAATCATAAGCCACAAGGAGTGGATGCATATGCGCTATTGACAGTGATTTGAGCCACATCATCAATTTTTTCCAACTATTGGTTTTTACCGTCCCAAGGACCCCAACCAGAAAGCCAGTCTACACCTTCCTACGTGGCTGGCCTAGACTAACTGTTGTAGATTTCATTGACTGATTCCATGTTTTGGTTTGACCTCCGCTAGCTTTTTTCCAGCATGATCCTATATCCGCGAACATTGCTTATCGAGGAAGGCGATGACTAGGTGTGCATGCGTAACACATGTCCTAACCATCTCAGTCTATGTAACTTCACAACCCCGTCGATTGATTTCCCCTCCCACCTACCTAGCACTCGACCAATACCTAACCTCAATATTGCTCACCTTATTATACCACTTCAAACGGGATAGAACGCAGGCACCTATCATCAAAGACAGCTAGCCAGGCTTTTCATGTCTTCCACTCTCAATGGCCATGTTTCACTCACAGCCATAAAGGAGGAACAAAGCCGACTGGTGAGCAGTACACCAGCCGTTTGGTCGATAGCCAACCGGATATCAAACCTACGCTAGAGACGGCGTAAACTGGCCTATGCGAAACTAGACCTCTGTATCCGTACTGAGATTTCATCAGAGATCAACCCGTTGATACTGGCTGATGGTACTTCTCAAATAAGTGAAGCGGTAAACGTGCTCTGTTAACAATGATTCATGGCCAAAGGTATGTTAATATGTCATATAACTAACTGAAGCATATTTACACAGTAGATTGCTTTTGATACAAACAAACAGGCTGTTAATGAACTTTACACTGAATGTTTATCATGTCTTGAAATTTATTTCACAAAAACTGTTTAAATGTATGCAGTATAGATGAAAACAATAAAAGAAATAAGAAAGGACTAGAACTTACTTATTCCAGTGCTCTTTTGTTCGATATAAAGCAGGAAACATAATTGGTAGAATTTCTTCGACATGATCATGCATCAGTTGAAGGATGTAGTCATTACTCCAAAAGTACAGGGCACGTTCTGCAACCTATAAAGATAATTAACGATACAAAAAAGCAACAACAAAAAAAAACAAGTGAAATCATTAAACTGCCTGAGTTATTATCAATAACCAACCAGCTATGCACCAATGTCACAGTTTCTCCTAAATAAGAGAACATAAATCTTGTTACTGTGATACACTAAAGTTCACCTAACCGATTTAAGTGAATGAGTGAACAACAAGAAGGATGCTAAAATAGGCAAACTAGTTTGCAAACGGTATACAATCTGAAATATTATCAATAATTTTAAAAAATGTGAGTAGTTTTCTAACTGCTTGTTGCTAGTCTGCCAGTCAGTTGTCGCTGTATACTTTGACAAAAAGTCAATTCAAAATGTATGATCCTAACCCTGAATGAAAAGAATCCAGTTAGATAACAGGAAAAAGAAACACACTGTCAACGTACATGTTCATTATGAGACAGACTACTTCGGTTGTAAATAATTAAATAATGGGCCACGTGATGACGTTAAAAACTCCGAATGCAACGACTGAAAGCAACTAGAGGGAAGTGATGATTGCGTAATTTAAACTGTGAATGATTCACATTAAAATGAAATGAATTACTTACACACTTCACTACAATGATACTCCTAATTGGGGTTGAATGGACTATGCACCAGACAGTAGGCAGCAAAAAAGAAAGGAATACTTTACACCGATAAGAAAACTCTAGGAGATCTGGACTCTTCCCCCTCCCAAAGCCCCGAATGATTTATGTCTAATGTCACACAAACTCGAAGACTTGCAGGTAAAAAGCGACAAACTGACTGAAGAAGCAGTCAGCGAAGATAGAACTCCAGGTGGTGCTGAAGATAACGAGTCAACAACAACAACAAGCACCAACTACAATCAACGCAAGAAATTTGAAAGGGAGATCATTTCCTCCGCTTATCTAGAAAGTACCCTTTTAACTACAAGCACTCGGCAAAGATGGGGATATCAAAAGCAATATCCCAAAGGTGTAATAAACTTTCATCACTCTGACATCAGTTTAAAAATTTTTTACACTCAACCAAATTCAAATTTTCAACACCAGCGTTAAGTCAGTTAATTCTCCTATATGGATCAGAAAATTGATCAAACACGTCACGAGAAGCATTTCCAACAAGTTAGAAGCTATTATCTACAGCTGTCGGCATTGGCTCCATACTGAATAGCATCACGCCCGAAATAATCGATTGGAACCCAAATGAGAGACGACGGACAGGTCGTCCAAGTCAATCAATTGATACGATATGAGCAAAAATTTGTGCTCAAAACGTCATTAGTAGATATATTACTGTACAACATTGTGTGATTTATCAAAATGAAATCTTATCCATAAAGAGTGAATGTATCTGCGCCAGCCATCAATGAGAACGATGATTTCCAGCCATATCACCAATTGTCTGTCTCTAGTCTTTATTGGTTCCTACCATCATCCCGAAGATCTCAACCAGCCATCCAGATAAGTAGTCTACACTTCCCTACATGGCTGACTGGCTTCAACTGACTGTTATGGCTTTCACTGATTGATGAAGTCATGGTTATTTTGTTTTGACTACCTACGCTAACTCTTCACCAACCTCATCAATCATATGTCCAGTTAACATTGACTGTCGGTCGACGAAGGCGAACAATGGCTAGGGATGCATGCATAACACATGTCCTAACCATCTCACTCAATCCATGCACCTCCTTCACAACATCGTCGATTGATTTCCACTCCCTTCTCAACTACCGGTCGACCGAAGTCTAACCTCAATATTACTCACCCTATTATAGCACCTGCAATCAGCCAACACAGGAGAGAGGTCAGTTAGACTTTCCATGTCTTCCACCCTGAATGCCCGTATCTCGTTCACAGCCAGTCACAAAGGAAGACGGGGCGAACTGCTGCTGTGCAATCCACAAGTCCTTTGATCGATAACTGGCCAGCCGGATATCACGTCTATTAAGCCAGAGATGGTGTAAGTTGGTAAGTTCCAAACGACGATTCTGTACCTGAGCTGAGATTTCGTCAGCAGTCAACCCTTCGGGGCTGACTGACGCAACTTCCCACCAAAATAATTGAAGTGGTCAACACGCTCTACCACTTTACTTCTTATCTCTAAGCTGGGGGTCAATGTAGTCCAATCCTCCAACCTCATAATATTAGTTTTCACAAGAGTGAATCACACGCCGAACATTCGAAGATTGCCTTCTGATTAAGGTGTTTACAAGACTCTGCATTTTGTCAACGTCTTCACTTTGGAGAGAGGACTATATCATCCTTCGTATATATTTTATGTCAACTGTTGGTAACAAGTCAATCTCTGAGTTGCTAAAGTCAGTTAAAGGTTAATTCCATTAGTACATCTATGATGAAATTAAACAGAAATAGGGACAGTGGACATCTTAGACGGACATCACTTCAAGATAGCAACATATTTCACGAGATATCAATCATGTTAATTCTCAGGCTAACATACATTTCTATGTGCAGACTGATGGATTATCATCCCCCAAATGTCTATCCATTAAATAAAGTACAAAAAAACAAATTAGGAAAATGACACTTCCTTTGAAAACGTACAACATTACAAAGAGGTTTTGTTGTTGTAATCTGCAACATTTTCCAAGTGAGTAAATCAAAGAAATCAATACAAAGAACAATAGCAGAAAGAGAGATAAAAAGGAATGCGAACAACAGACATACAGAAACAAAAGATAAGGCTAGTTGGGAGAGAGAGTAAGAGACATAGGAGAGAAGAAGGTAGAAGAACATGTTCGCAAAATCAATATATTATGCGAGTATAAGCCATATAATATCTACGTCACTACTAGTTGCACGTTTCATATTTATAGTAACTTATGAATGGTTTCGTTCACCTTAGGCGAATACTGTTGTCTAGAAAAACAATACTGAGAGTATAATGAAGCAATTAATGCTTTATTAAAAAAGACAGTCACAGGTGAATAAAATTTTACTTTTCGACGAAATCGCCGTCAACTAGACTATATATACATTTGTGTGTATTTATAGTAAATGGATAAGAAATTTCCAGAATTATTTCCAGTCATGAGAAAAATTTATTAAATCATAAAGTTGAATAAACAGGAAAATCGGATGAAAAAACAAAAGAAGTCGGATCATAATTACTGAGTAAAAATTGACTATTTTTGTCCAACTGTGGATTAAAAACGTAGTAATAACAAAATAGGCAGGAAGTTCGGAGAGTAGCATAATAATGCAGATATAAAATTCAAAAGAATATCTCATTGGGCCATTTAAACATGCATATACCAGTTCATCTGTGGGTCGGTGGTATGGCGGTTAGGACGCTCGCCGAACACGCACATGGTCCGGGTTCCGATTCCCGGCCGACGCCGCACTCCTTTACCTCGCTAAGCCAGTAACAAGACTGGTAAAGAGGTAAGGTTAGGCATGAGGCTAGAAACCCCATCCTGTAAGAATAATCACCACTGCTACAGAAGCTTCAAGTCAAGAACTTGAAGCCCTATGCTCTATTGGGAACGTGAAGGAAAAAATGAAATTAATATCAGTTCATCTGTGAAGCTGAATTCACCAGCCGTACCATGTGTACCGTACCGTACCATCATCAAAGAACACAAAAATATTTCATCCTAACCTACATAAGAAAGAATTAGCAACAAGAAACTATGGGAACGAACCAATCAAGAACCTACCACTCAACAAATATACCGAAAGTAAACTAGATGGATCTGACACACACTAAGGAGACTATTGAGTGCCACCAAGCACCAGACCACCACTCAAGTGGAACCGAAATGGGAAACTAACCGATGGGTATGGATCGGAGGGTGACATGAAGAAGATCGTGTGAGGAGGAGACAAGAGACCATGGAACCAACTGAAGAGGGCTACAAAGAATAGTATGCAGTGGAGAGAGATGTGCTATTGAAGCCCTATGTCCCATACAAACATAAATAGCAATCTTGCAATCAATCAATCAACCAGAAGCATGAAATCATAAAGGATTTACAAAACTAACTGGCGACGAAACCACCAAATGAAGCAGTCGAATGTTTTATTACATAAAGCGATTGATAAAAATTGTAATCCTCTATGCTCTGTCGCCCTTTGTATAAATATACACATGACAAATACAACATGGGTGATCAGAATAATCAAAATATGTTGCGCACAATGTGTTATACATACACTACACATTCCAGATTAACTTACGTCTTCTCTTAATATTTTGTCGAAGTTTTATTACTATTATTATCATTTAGTCTAGACTACTATTACAATAATCATCGATATTATTTTTTTTCGTAGTTTGTCTAACATTTTAAATCTTTCAGACTTTTCATTTTGAAACAAAAGTCTATTGTCTAATCAAGTCAACAATGACAACGTCGTCGACGTCAATAACAACAACAACAACAAATCGATATAGATCTCTATGAAAATTTTGACGTCTATTGTCTCCACATCTCTATTCGATTCTAATACCATAATACAGTAACATTAGAAAAAAAGAAAGCATTTCAACTAAACGGTTTCAGGATAGTAAAAAGGGCAAAAAAAATCTGATTAAACCTATCTCTGATTGTGTAATTTTTATTCCCCAACAAACAACTACAGCGACCACAATGTAAATAGAGATATAAATACGATGAAGATGAATGTGCCAGTCTTATTATTAGGCAAGTGATACGGATGAAATTTATTAAATATTAAGACAGACATAGAGAGTAGCAGATTAGAAGTGCTCAGATTCCTGAGGATGTTTTAGCAATGACATCCAGTTTGCCAGTTCAGCTAGTCATTTGACTTCAGGAATTGAAAATAGAATAGAAAGTGTACCCGATCGCCATATAACAATGATAATAACATATGTCTGTCTGTCTCTTTTCGACATAGAACTTTGCACATATGTGCGGCATCTCATTGGTATTCAAGTGATGGTTTGTAGGGATTTGATTGGTTTCAGGATTTCATCATGAGCTGACATTAGTTAGAGTGGGAAGTC